AACGTATTTATTTATTCGTGGAATCGTCCTTTTCTGTTAATTGTGCTGCTTTCGAATCGACGATGGACTTCTAGGACTATCCGTGAGTGTATTGTACCGATATAGTATTAATTAATTAAGCGTCTCGTCGATGTTAGAAAAGGCGATACACAAGTTTATTGTGCTGCTTTGGAGTACAAATTCTCTCAGGGATACTTTATACGTGTAACAGGTTAGATATTCAAACACGCTTTCTTCTTCTTCTTATTTTCTTTTTAGGTATTAGCCGTGTAGCGTGATGCTTTTCAATTTCTTCGTGGTCGATGGGTGATAATAAATATGAAGTTATGAAACGTATTATCTGTTTATGTATCCAATTCCGTTCAGTGGTGATTTGATCGGTTAACAATTTGCAAATAAACTGTTTCAAACATTGACTTTCCTTTTTTGATGTCAATTACACTGGAGAAGGGGATTTCGAACGTGGGAAACATTGGTTTGGATGTTTTAAACATATGCGAGAATACTGTGAAACTGTTAAAAGTTTTCTTTTTGAAAATTGTTTTCGAAAAATTATTACGATTACTTTGACAAATTGAAAATGTAAATACGTACCGACAATTATTGTGTAAAGTAGTCATTTTTAAAGTTATTGCACATTTCATAGTTGGACATTCGAAAATTTGGAAATTTGAAAATTATATTGACATTATAAATTACTAAATGTATAAACTGGCTAACTGTTAATAAGTTTAATAATGATTTTAAATATATATCGAAGCTTGTTAAAAGTTTCCGAATACATATAAATTTAAAACAATATTGAAGCCATCATATGCACTCTGAAATTATCAATCATTCGTAAATATTCTGATTAATGTATCTTCAATTTTGACATAGAACTGATTTAATTTTCAGTCACAAATTTTCACATTTTTATACAGTAACACTTTACAAAGAATTAAGAATACTATTTTTCATTCAGCAAAAATGGATTGCACAGGGGAAGAGGTATATTTTCAATTTTACATAAAAGAACTTTATGCGAACTATTTAATTATTACGTGCAGCTGAAGAAAGCGAACGTTTTTCAACTTAATATTTTAATTCCACTAATAAAAATGCTGGACATTTATAAAAAGACCAGCCACGAACTTAGTCCAGATGAATTTTGCATTATTTTGTTCACCGGAGAAGAACCGACTAAAAAGTGTCAAATTAAATATAATATGGTTAAGAAATATTGCAGTCATCCAGATGAATTTAAGGTTAAAGATGCCATTTTGAAACATTATTAAATGAATTATTAATATGCCATTTCATTTTCGATTTACAGAATCTACCAACTTCGATTCAAAATATTATAATCGATTTGTTTATGAATATTATTCGTTACGAAAATTTCTTAGAGGGTGTGAGCAAAAATTTTTTGGAAAAACGACATCGTTACCATTGTGACAAATTACATGAAGTTATGGGTTTGTGATTAAACGTATTTCTATGGTGTATCATAAGAAAATTATCGTCTAAGCTGCAATTAATCCTTGCTATTTAAAGAGGAAAGTGAAAATTAAAGAAAATTGTTTTTTGAAAATTATAGAAGAGAGTTAAAATTCAGGGAAAATTTATTCTATATCTTGATTATTGACAAATAAGAAATTACAACAAAATAGAGAAAATTCAAATTAAATATTCTATACTATTGACAATAATTCAAAGCGATTTGTATTTCCAAAAATCAGAAATGATATGTTTTAATCGTAAATTAATCTTAATTAATTACTAAATTAATTAATATAACAAACATCAAAAATATAACACAAAGTATAACTTCCGTTTTTACAGTGCTCATATACATCCTCGCGTACAGAATATTTAATTTATTCTTCGAAGAATCCATTGATTGTTTCGATTACTTCAAAATGAAGAAAATGCTGTTCATGGTTTCGTATCTGCTTTACTCGGAAACATCAAATCTTTTCCATAAACTCGGTTGCCTGGAATTTGACGAAGATTTTGTGGAGCGAACGCTGATTTTGCCATTTATGGAAGCGACTTCGTGTTTAGAGGTTTCATTTTACTATAAGAGAAATTAATATTTAAGTTACCATTATTTTGCAATTTAAATTACTATTAGTATTATAATGAAATTATTATTACTATTTCTGTTTCAATTACTATTATTCTTGCTATTTCAATTACTAATTCTATTTAAATCACTATTACTATTACTAATCCTTTCCGGTCGACGTCCTAATATCGCTTGGTTCAAACATTCGATTGTTTCATCAACTAAGCCACTCTTCCTTCAGGTACCTTATCGTAACTGTTAAATAAATAAGTAAATATAAACCATATATATCTTAATTTATTACCGACTGAGCGCTACGACTATTTCGAGTATTTATCTTACGACTAATCGAGTATTTATCTTACTTTCGGAATACTCCGACCGGAAACGGTTAATTTAAAAAATATGCTTACTGTTACAAAAGTATACTATCCAAGAAATAATACAGTCACAAATTTAGCAGTCAGTAATTCTTACAATTAATTGTTTCCAGAAACTTCGTGAAAACATAAAAGAGACGATTGAGAAACGAAAACAGCCAAAGAAAATTACAATTCCCGTCTTCATGAATGTTTTGAATCATCCAAAACGACGCACGGGAGTACCTCCGGCTACACCGGAAGTAAACAACTTTTATTCCTATAATTCGGGAAATAATACACAATCGGAGAAATGTAATTACAGTTTACTTCTATGTTAACGTTACGTGTCAACCTGGTAATGATATCTTGATGGATCGTTTTCGTTACGGTAGTAACTTTAAAAATATTAATTTTTTCTAATAATAATATTCTTATTATTGATTATATTTTTGTAGTATGTATTATATCATTTACTTATTATATTCAGTATTACTTCCTTAGTAATTTATTATCAAACAAATCGAATCCATAAAGCAATACAGGTTTTAATGATTCTTCGAAGAATTTTTAACAAATATAATAAGTTATTACTAATAACTGATTACACTAGTTACACCGATTGCAATTATTGTAAGTTGTGAGGTCTAGTGTCAAGAATGTAAAATGACTTAATTGGCAGTAGAGTTGGTCCTAATAACAGGAAAATAATTTCTTAAGTAGTACTAATGATCACTGATGAGAAAACAGATTATTTATAGTACCGATGCTTAGCCTTCCATTTCTATACGTTCAATGTGATTATCTTGTGATTCGAGTTTATTCTCTTTTCAAAAAATATAATACATTCTTTTTATTTACTATTGTCTCATTATTTTCGATTAATAAAATTTGAGTATTAATATTTTATATTTTAATATATCATATTTTATTATTAATAAAATTTTAACACAGAATTCTAAATATTACATTTAAATAATTAAATATAATCAAATATGAATTTTCGTTTAATAAATAGTTAAGTAAGTAATTAAATTGAATATAATTATACGTGTGATATATAATTGTCAAATGATTTAACTTTACAATTAAGACTTAACATTTATTAATGTAACTTTTCTCGAGACACTAAAACAAGATAGAAATACAGTTAATTTACATTTTAATTTCATGTTAAGATAGTGGAACTAGATATATTTAAATTAATAAAAATTTAAGGTTTCTTTGTTTGAAGATTCTTCGTGTACTGGATAGGATTTGGTGGTGGAGAGATTCGCGCGAAAAGTTCCTATAACGAATTACGTGAAACCGTCGACGCAAATGAAATTGGAATCGCTGCGGGCTGTAAATAAAGCACATGCAATTCAATTGCTTCATGCCGCGAACGAGAATGCACCTAGTTGTTTGCAACGCGAAAAACATTCCATGAAAACGAAGATGAAGGAAAAATCGAAAGAGGTGTTCCTAAGCAAACGAGTTCCCGCGTTCAAGGTGTCTATAAACTAATTTCTATTGAATTTCTCTAAATATCGAATTATATCTAATAATAATAACTTTTACTTCAGTTAATTCAAATGAGAATTTCAATTTTGTTTAAAATTGGCATTTACATAAAGAAATTAATGTATTTATCATTTCCCACTGAAAACATACCTTCATGATTTCAACAATTATGAAACAACAAATTAAGAATTCATTTTTTTAAACACAATTACATTTTTAATATTATAAACAAAAATTGGATGAAAAATAATTTTGTATATTATTTAATAGCCGGTTGAAGTTAAACAGACTGCAGCTTCCATATTAAGAGAGTGTGCACGCGTGATATCCGACGAAGAAAAGGAGATCAAAAAGTAACTGAATTTAATACTCATTATCAATTTCTTAAGTAGATACCTTTCTTTTGCAAAGAATTCATTAAAATTTGATACTTACAATATTACTATTTATTATTCATAATACTATTATTTGTGAATAGAAACTTCTCTTATTGTTATTGTGTAATTACTATCAAATTTTAATAATAAATATAAATATTAATAATAAGAATAATTTATTTCACTTAACAAAGTTTATTCCTGGACGATTTATATTATTTTCAATTATACGACTAAAAATTTAAATTTATTTCCATGCAATGATCAACGATCAATCATCTTCGATAAAATTAGATTGAAAGAGTTATCAGAGGGAGGATTTGATCCGTCTTCCATTGCGCGATTCGAACAAGAGGAGCGTCAACGGAAGAGAGTCGAAGAATCATCGAAGATACAAGAGAAACACTTGTTGGCGCTGATTAGTCGCGAGGGTGCGTTTATTGCGAAGCAATCACTGCTGGACGATATTAAGCAACATGCTGAAAGTGTGCGAAAAGAGGTAGAAATCGCGCATATCACAAAAGAAACTTCCTTTCGTTCAAAGATTGTTTCTTGTAGAAATAAAAAATTTGCTGAGTCAATCTATTAGTCATAATAGACTGTGCATTTACAAGTAATATGGAAGTGCAAAAAATTGTGCAAAATGACCATGACGTAGCATTTTTCATGAGGCGAAGAAATATGAATATTCCAAGTAAAATTCTTTTTATGGTACTTGTTAGGAAAAACAATTTTCTATTTTTAGTGATATTTTTCTAAATATGTTCTTGAACATTTGAATTTTTATAAAGATTCATATAATTTAGTCACAGAGTTTCCTTCCTTTTGTAAATGATTTGTTCATTGTTTCTTCTTCATTAATTTTCGTTTCTTTCGCTTTCCTCCCGTCCATAAACAATTCAATTAGAAATCTTGGTAGATTGTATTGACTTCATTCACCTTTTAGAAATTTTTGAAATTCCTAAAACTTCTTTCTACAAAAATCTAAATTATTCATCGAAATTTTAGTATATATAGGAAAGTATATATCAATCTCTTACTATTTAAATATTTATACTATTCGAACACAAAACCTAATTTAGTTTTTTCATTTGTAACATTGATGTTTGGAGTCACCATTACGGCGGCATTCGATGGCAAAGGGTTAATAATGATATTATATTTTTATTAAATAGGGGAATGTAGGGTAAACGGAACAGTAATGTTTTTCATAGATAAAGAGTTCGTATCGTGTTTATCGCATGACATGGTTCTAATAAGTCCTCAATGTAGTTTGAGATCGACTGCAAAGCAGTGCGTGAGTTATTTTTCGATTAAAAGCATTGGCAAGATATTCAATGAAAAAGTTTTGATGTTACATAAATGGTCGAAGTATTTTTATTCACCTTCCGATGAAAAAATTCAATAAGATAACTACAATACTGAATTCTATGTTCTTTACACTGTATTTTTGATACTTGAGTTATCACTTTATCTCATACCAAACTGTAAATTTTAAATGCTTTTCTAAATTACGACGCGCGGGGCAAAATGGAACACTTTAGTACGGGGGCGACTGGAGTCGCTTGATATGTTCTTCGTTTATATTTTTAATTGGTTACGTGTAATCGTACTAATGTATAGCAAATTAGAATTGAAGATCAGATAGAAACTGACCGATTAGTTTTCATGCATTTATTATTCCAGATACTTTCTATTACGATTAAAAAATAAGCGTTCCATTTTTCCCCACTTCCCCTATTTAAACAGCACAATTAACAACGTTGTTAATAATAATGCTATTGATTCAAAGAAACAGGAACTAAATGAGAAGCTGGGGAAATGGAGGGAAAAACATGTGAAGGAAATGGCAGAAATCTTCGAACGGTGCCGTGAAATCCAGCAAGCTTCCCGTGATGCTTTGAACGCCATGGTCGATGAAAAACGGCAAAAAGGTACAACATCTTTCTGTATAATAAATTACTATAAAATGTAAAGATGATTTTTTGTTGCAATTTCGATTGTGCAACCACGATGAAAGTAACAATTTAAAACATTTAATTCATAATTGGAAAAAGTAAATATAACGCGTGCCAATTATAAAATAGTATAATAATCATAACAATACTGTAACATTTATTTTCTTGATATTATAATTAATAGTTGATCATAGAATTAAATATATTACGCAACATTTTGTTTACTTAATCTACTTGCTACCAATCATGAATACACTCTTAATTAATAAAGTGTTTTGAATTCCCACCACGTCTATCTCCATTGCATCTTAAACGTACTTTAATGAAAAGTTAAATGAACTGGCCATACAAATGAAATTACATAATTTGTGCCAGCAAAGAATATATTAAAATATGTACAATATAAATACAATATAAATATGTACAATCCTTATAATCACAATGATTATATTTAAAATAGATAATCCAAAAAGGTGTTCATTAAAATTTTGAAAAATATAAGACAATTTTCTCGAAGTCAACTTTTATAGAGAATTCTGTTTCTGCTTTTCGAAATATCCGCGTTGTCTCGTTTAACTCGTGTCAAATAAAATGCAGACTTTGATATTAATATGGATGAATTATCTTAACTAGCCGCAGAAGTTTCTCAAGAATCACGTCAGTTGAGAGCACAGATGATCAAGCAAAAACAGAAAGAGGTTCAGAGGAAGATCAAGTTGATTCAAGAAATTAAAGCCATTCAGTCGTTGCGATCGTTCGCTTGCAAAGTCTTCGATCCCACAGAATCCAGGGGCTTGGGTCTTCTTTGCGAAATGTCGTACGCAGAGGTTCGATAAGTTTTTATTAATCAATAGGAAGTGAAAAAACCGATTACCATTTTATCTACATCAATCCTAACCGTAACGGAAATCGATCAAATGACTGGTCTTAATATACACGGTAAAGATGATTTATTACAATGAAAGATAATCTTATTCTTTCAGAATAACAAACATATCTCACTATTAACTTTATTGAAAAAAACAATCTTATTCGTTTAGAATAAGAAATATACCTTAATATTAACTTTATTAAAGAAAACATTCTTATTTTTCCAGAATAAGAAACATCTCTTAAAATTAACTTTATTGAAGAATTGTTTTTTTACGAACGGTTAAAAATTGATAGAAAATGGAGGGCTTTGTTTTTAGTTAAAAGAGAGGCTGTTCTGGATGAAGATGAAGCTCAACGAGGAGATCGAGAATCGCAAAGTTATCGTTCACGAACAACGCGAAAAACAGAAAACTATGATTGAAGACACTCGTAAAGCACTCGAGGATTATAAAGTCAGCAAGTAGGTTATCATCTGCGTTGCGTTACTGTTTGCAGTCTCTGACAATTGCAAAGATACGATAGTAGCCGCTGAAATCGCACTACTGTATATATTCAAAAACTTTTATCTAAAGTGAGTATGATTTATAGATTTAAAATTGTTATTTTATTTTTACCTATGTATTTTTCCCAACCAAAATCAAATCTAACGTAAATCATTTAACAAGTTGATTAACACGAAAATGTTTAGCATTTCATATTTATTTATTTGTTCACGATAAATATAAATAATATTAGAAATAATTATTGATGATCTAGACTATTATTTGGTTAGTTATGTTCTTAAATATCTCCAAATACAATAGGACATTATAAGTTAGTTAAAAATCAATAATTACAAAACATCAATCTTCTTATTAAAGCCGTTTGCAATTAATTCAGAAGGTTCAGTAACCACCGTGAAAGTCAATGTGGTAATGTTTAATAATACAAATAAGCATTATGAAAAATATTGATATTTCGAAAAAACATTTTTTACATGAATAGAAAAATTATGTAACAATATTTAAAAATCCAACTGTTCACCGAGATTCGATCCCCATTTTTTGCTTCATTTCAGTTTTACTTTCAGATAATTTTGTTTACGAATAGCATGAAAGTAGCACCATTACAGCAACGATTACTTGAATCATTGTCGTTGTTATGTATGGAGAACTAAGGCTTTTATACGACAGGATTTTGTAGGTGTAAAATAAAATAGTGAAAATTTGTTTTTGACGAAATACAGACGACCATCGTTCGACTTTCCCTTTACTAAGATTATCTTACACTTTATTTCCTAATTTCTGATATTTTCGATCACTACATAATTTACTGTTCGTCAATACGGTTACTCGTAACCAATCAAAGCTATAGAGCTGTGAACTAGAAAAACTGTCAAATCAAGTCATCTCTTCCGCAAAAACAAAGAATCATTAGGCTTACTTGAATCTCAACGATTTTCATTACAAAAATTTAATTGTTTACGACTCCAAGAGTTGTCAGCATGATTTGAGATTGCAGCTGAAAAACACAATTGCAAAGATAATTGTTGAATTAATGATACAGCAATGTCGCACGTTGAATTGCATTATGTAACAGAATGTATGCGAAACGTAGTTGATATTAGCGAATTGGAATAAGCTTGACTCGTTGCAACATGCATGTTTGCATAACTGTAGTCATATGGTATTTTTCTCTGATTGTTCAAAGTCAAGTTCAAGAAGATACTTAAGGGCAAAGAAAATCCGAGTTTTGAGGTATATACCCAGAAAGATATTTCCTCTGATTGCTCGAAGTCAAGTTCAAGAAGATATTTAACACTAGAACAACCAGATGGATCAGAATGACTTATTTCTGATTTCCTCTTTTACAATTACTGAAAAGATATAGATACTTCTACGAAAAATTATTAACGGAACTAATTCAGTAATAGTAAAACTGAAATGCAACTCAAATTAAATCTCAATAAACGCACGCTTATGGCTTTTATAAAGAAATTTGTAGAAGTCAGTTTAAGTGATCGGTAGTTTTAGTGTTAAGGACAAAGAAAAGTCCGAGTTTTGAAGTATATTCCCAGAGAGCTTCACCAGGTGGCCCCTATGGACGAGGGATTGAGACTAGGTCCAATCAACCTAGACCAAAGCCTTACCAGATTAGCTCCTGGAATGATGAGTCCTGTAGATGTAGACCAGAGCTGGCCAACCTTTGCATACCATACGCCAATTTTGTTCACAGACAAGTTCAGATATGCTATACAACTTAAGCACCTCTTCGACTTTCTTACGTTCACGGTTGTGGTAGGGAAATAGAGATAGAAGCAGGAGCTGCTTCGCTTAGAGCAGGAAAAGGAATAACTCAATCTCGCAATTAAATTAATTGATTTACGTGAGCTCAAAAGGCACACGTTTATTGAAGCACTTAAAATGAATGAATAGTGCACAAGGATGCAATGTGCCACTTGTAATCATCCAATGCGCCACGTTTGGCGCATGCGCCACTGTTTGGCCACCTCTGAGGTAGACTGTTGATAGTGCCGAGCCCACTTTCCAGAGCTCTCATATCTGTCTTGGCTAGTCAAAGAGCAGGTGGGATGCTGTTCACCTGCTAAGACCCTCGAGAGGTCCCTAGCCTAGCATGTATGCGGTTATCGACATTTAAATTTTTATTGATGGAACAGCAATAATTATTAATATAATAATTAATACAATGATTACATTAATTGTTAAATTTTAAGGATATTCTTCTTTAATTAAATAAATTTTAGGATAATTCTTTGGTAATTTTATTGTTAGTTACTGAGTTACTTCGATTCGAACGATAACAATAATTAATCGGCGATTCGTTTTTTAGGCGACTCACCTCGTCGTCGAAGTCCCAGCGACCACCTGTGTCAATGATTACCTCTCCGGAAGTGATCGCGTTACGAAGACAATTGGAAGAACGTAAAGCCGCCAGGCTGCAAAAGGAAATTGCAACTCGTTCGAAGTGATCGGCTGCACGTGATCTCAATGACTTGCCGCTGAATCTTACATGCAACCGGTTACGAAATAATTGCAGCAACGTGTGAGACCGTTCGTTGAAACCCTCGTTACGCTTTTTCGCTGATAACACTACAATGCAGCTTTCACGTCTTGAGAAACGTCCGTCCAGCTGAAAGTGCAGAGGGGCAAGGAGAGTCGGCCGCACGCTCCACCTCGGTCTGTCCAGGAAAAATAACAGCCGAACCTCCGTCCAGTGCGGTCAAACGCTCCTTTTCTGGACAAAATCCAATAACTTAACACTAAACGTACCGCAACCGGTCAAACGACCGGTTTTCAAATTTTCTTAAAAATTCTGCGTTTTCGTTCGTTCATGTAACTTTATATGAATTTCTATATTATCCCATTAATCAGTTGTTGAATTTTTGCCTTTCATTTTGTTTCTTTCATTAAGAAAAATTTATCGTCTAATTTGTTTACCTTTATTTTTCATGTGACTTTCTGATTAAACTTCAATTTCTTTAAACTTTAATTGAAATGGTAAATTTTGCACTGGGAAACCTGCATCGATAGAAACGTTGATTTTTCTTTTTTGATGAGGATTTTTTATGAAATTTGTATTTCTCAAGTGTTCGTCGATCGCAAATTAATTTAATTTAATTGTCATTTGCAACTTGGTTTGTCTATAGATTCACTGAAATGGTGCGAATTGAATTTTTAAATGTGTTTCTTGGATTTAGTTGTGAAATTAGGTAAATCTTTGTATTCAAAGTGGAAAGGTACTATCCCAGATTTTTATTTTAAGACGTAAATGATGTATTACTATTTTAGGTTGGCTCGTTTTATAGATACAAGGTTTTCCGTGCACGAATAAATCGATGATTATTTAATAGAGAATGTATGATGCAAGAGGGTTACATCATTTATCACGTGTCTATCTATAAAAGTCGTTTTCATTAAACAAAACGGAATATGTTTCAGTAGCTCGGCGATTCAGCAACATAGTATTTCTAAATATTAATTTTCTTAATCATGATGGCTTTTTGCCCAAGTAACTTGAATTCTATTATTGAATGACCGGTTGCGTCATAGAACGAATGAGAAGGAAAATAACATTGCATTTAAGAAGTATGTCATACACATGAAACTTAATTTTAATGTTTGCAATATTTAGTACACTTTTTCAGTATTAAAACTATATGAAAATGATATATCACGTATTAACGTAAATATATACAATCACAAATATAAGCATGTTCTAAT